ATTAAATTAATAGATGTTGTGAAGTGTATTAAATTAAAAAATATACTAATTATTTTTTAATTTTCTTTTAGTCTTATACCACTATATTCTTATGTCCACAATTTAAAATCAAGACTTCCTATTTCTATTAGATGTAGACTAACACTGAGTTGCTTAATTCATTTGCTATCGTTATGTACATGTATTTACAAAAAATTGTTATATTTATGTTTTTAAATTTAATCATGTAGATTAATTTTTAAAATATTTTATAATTATTTTATATGCATACATAATTTAATCCACAAAATTTTTTACCCAAGAAAGTGAGAATAAGGATGGAAGTTCCAACGGTTAAATGGTAGTAATCACTCGTAGTTAGGAAAATTAAGATTGGAGGAAGAATTATTTTAAGAAATAAAGTTGCAGTGGGCTAACGCTAGACTGGCAGGTCCACCCTATGGACAAATCAATTTCCTCGAAAACTTAACTACCCTGTAATATTAAACCTAAGACACACATTAAATTAAAAGAATACGTAAAAACCTATGAACCTAGTGAATAAACTAAAAAGAAACAAGATGCAGCGGGGTCTGGTTAAGGGGCTTATTAATTATTTTTTTAAGATTATTAAATTTTGTTTAAAAAATATTAATTTTACTTAATTCATTATTTTAAATAGTTAATAATTAATATAATAATTAATATTTATTATTTAATAAATTAAAATTAATTTATAAATTAATATTTTCAAATATCATAATTATTTACTTTAAAAAATTATAAGTATTAATTAATTAAACTTTAATAATTTTACAAAATAATTAGTAACCATACTATATTTAAAAAAAAAAAAACAGTACAGTGAGAGAATAAAAGACAAAAAAGAAAAACCTACCTATAATTCCACATTCTTCCACAAATGTACTCTCAATGCAATTCATATATCAAGTACGTCAGAAACATCCCAAATACATTATGTGTTTGATAGAGCGCACTCATGTACATATCATTTTCCGAGTACGTATATGCATCTTAGAGTATATTTGGTTTAGTTTTTAAGTGTTTTAATTTTTTAATATTATTTATATTTCATAAATTAATTTTTTAAAAAAAAAATTTTTTAAATTTTTTTAAATCTTAAAAAGATCTTAAATAATAAAAATTTAAAAATTTCAAATTTAAACTTTCTATAAATTCTTTTTTTATTTATTTTTTTTATATTTTTAAAAATAACTTTTAAATTTTTTTCAATAAAAATTTAAACTTATTATTCATAAACAATAAAAAAATAAAAATAAAAACTCTTATGATTTCACTCAAACATACTCTTAAATACTTTCTAATTAATATAGTATTCTCCGTTGCACAGAAATAACTTTTTCACGTTGCTTAGTTACCATCTTTTTTTTTGATACATCAGAGGAGCTTAGTTACCATCTTACAATGACAGTATTTAATCCTACGCTGGCACCGACAAATATAGGTAATATGAAACTTTTAAATAGCTGGTATATCATTCCCTTTAACCTCCACTCTGCAACTTCATGCTAAGATATGGAAATATTCAATTATCTGTTCTTTCTAGTTCAGTCCTCGGTCTTGTTTTTCGTGTCTTCTTCTCTGTTGCATGTGATGCTATGCAGATTGTACGGAGCTCGGAAACTTTCCGGCAAGTGCTCCAGTCACGGTCCTCCGACCTATCCGATCATCGGTTGCTTGGTTTCCTTCTATAAGAACAAAACCCGTCTACTAGATTGGTATACTGAGCTCCTAACGGAATCTGCTACTAACACGATCGTGGTGCGGCGGTTTGGGGCACGGAGGACCGTCGTCACAGCTAACCCTGACAACGTGGAGTACATGCTCAAGACAAATTTCGGCAACTTTCCTAAAGGCAAACCCTTCACCGAAATCCTTGGCGACTTTCTCGGATACGGAATCTTCAACGTTGACGGAGACCTCTGGCTCGCGCAGCGCAAGTTAGCGAGTCATGCCTTCAGCACCAAGTCGCTAAGGGAATTCGTGATTTGTACGTTGGAGGAGGAAGTGGAAAACCATCTGGTGCCAGTTTTGGAGTCGTCGGCCGAGGCAGCGGAGGTGGTAGATCTGCAGGAGCTGTTACGGAGAGCGGCTTTCAATATGATATGTAAGATTTCCTTAGGGATAGATCGGTGTAGTTTGGATCCATCTTTACCGGCTTCGCCGCTGGACAAAGCTTTTGACATAGCGTCGGAGATATGCGCCAGGCGCGGAGCTGCACCGTTGTTCTTGGTTTGGAAGATTAAAAAATGGCTGGGAATCGGATCCGAGAAAAAGCTCAAGGACGCCATTCAAGAAGTTCATGCTTATGTTGCCAGCATAATCAAAGATAGGAAGGAAAAGATCGAAAATGGAGAGAATGAAATCAGCTGCCGCCATCAAGATCTGTTATCGAGAATGATCGTTGCTGGTCATGAAGAGGAGGTGATAAGAGACATGATGATTAGTTTCATCCTGGCGGGAAGAGATACGACTTCTGCCGCAATGACATGGTTGTTCTGGTTGCTCTCCTGCCATCCAGAGATAGAGCAGGAGCTGGTGAAGGAGACGACTTCCATGGCGTCAGAGAGCATGTTGGATTATGAAGCCTTGAAGAGATTAAAACTTTTGAAAGCCTGCATCTGTGAATCCATGCGGCTTTATCCTCCGGTAGCGTGGGACTCGAAGCACGCCATGGACGACGACTTGTTACCGGACGGAACACCAGTCCGAGCAGGAGACAGGGTAACGTATTTTCCTTATGGCATGGGAAGAATGGAAGCACTGTGGGGGAAGGACTGGTTCGAATTCAAACCGAACCGGTGGTTTAACAACAATGGAGGAGGAGGTTCCTTGAAGCAGGTATGTCCTTACAGTTTCCCGGTTTTCCAGGCCGGTCCAAGGGTTTGCCTTGGGAGAGAAATGGCCTTTATTCAGATGAAATATGTTGCAGCGTCAATTCTCCGGCAGTTTGAGATTAAACCGGTCAGTTCAAACAAGCCGATTTTCGTTCCGCTCTTGACGGCTCACATGGCCGGCGGACTAAAGGTCTCGGTTCGCAAGAGAGATGCATTAAGATAAAAATAAAACTAAAATCAAGAGGGGGAAAAAAAATTCATTGTTTATGAATTTGGAAAATGTATGAGCAAAGTAGCAGGCTAATATGCTATCATGTCACATGTATAAAATATTTAGACATGATTAGGAAAAACATATCACACCATTAAAAGTCAATACGTGTCTTGATCAAGGAGGAATCCTAATCATTGATCATTGATTATATGTGACATCTAGTGGAGAATACATGTGCTTGTGCATCCATGATTACATTTTTGCACATGCGTGTAACGGACGATAATGTCACATGTGCTTCTTTTTGAAAGGGAGAAATGTGTCGTCTGCATCTTCTTGTTTATGTTTCCGTTGACATCCGCCAACAGATTCTCTGTTCAGTTCTCCTGTTTTACCTAAACCAAAAATAAAAAATAAAAAGGTTTGTCTAATGACAGATTGATGATGTTTATGAGAATGGTTCTTACAATTTCTGCAGCATTATTTTTAGCCCTTTCTTTCAGAACTGATTTTCACAGGGATAAGCTTCCGAATTGTTTGTTCCATTCTTCATATGTACCAAGTTCATTTAATGAAACAGAAGGCCTGACCTCTTGCAATGCACTCTCAAAATCCTACAATGTGTAGAAAAACAAAAAAAATTCCGAAATGATTGAATTAAACTATTAGAGGAGTGACTAAAGGAGTTAAAGAGGTTCTTAGCTTTAATGGGGTGCAGGCTTGCAAAGTATGTTACCTGAAGGGTTACTGCTCGCATGTCTTCCTTTTTCAGCTTTGTAATTTCAATGCCTTGTCTTAGGGCATCTCTCAATGGACCCATAGATGCGTCCTTCACCAAATTCTTCATATCAGATCCTGAATATCCTGACAAGAGAAAATACCAACAGGAAAGTTTCAAGAGAAAATATAGATAAAATGAGGTAATTGTCCAGGTCACAGGAAGCCTAATGGATTTTTACACAATACCTTCAGTTAATCTGCAAATTGCATCGATATCCTCTTGTGAAAGCTTGAGTAGTCCATCCTTCTGTAAGAGATTGCGTACAATCCAGGCTCTCGCTTCTTCATTTCCTTGGAAGTCAGTTAGCCATTAACAAACATTTTTGGTTATATAAATTGTTAGAGAATTAGATGGAACATGAAACTCGGACCTGAGGAAGGGAGCGGAATATAGAGTCTCTTAGTGAGTCGCCTCCGTGCTGCTTCATCAAGTTCTTGGGGTCTATTGGTTGCTCCTGTATCATATTCAGATGTCAGTGCCATCACTTCAGGAGACGTCAAATCCAAAAGCCCAGAGGTCAAATCATTAAAATGCACATGGTAGAATACAATTGAAGTTGAGAATTTTTTCCCCCCTTCTTAAGGGATGATCATATATTTGAGTAAATTAGCAGATTCTTTATTCAAATGCAGAAAGTGTAAGAACTAAATGTGATTGCTGAACATGGAAGAGTTTACAAGACTTTCATGTCCTATAATACTTCCTCAGTTCCTCTCAATCTTAACGAATCATGATCTTTGCCCCCTGTTGCTAGTTGCCAACATCCCTTTGGTTTAGTTCCTTACCACATTGCCTCAACAAATACCAAGGTGTGAAATAGCACCATTCTAAAATTCGGTAACAAAGCAAAACTTATCAGGACAACAACAATGCTTTATCTAATTTACAAGCAATAGAACAGACACCAAAACCTGACGTCAAACAGTCATTACAATCTGAGTTGTCCAATCGTTTGAAGCATATATCCTTAGATGGCAAGAAATTATTTATAAAGAGAACTCCACAACACATTATCAAGGATGCAACCATTGTAACAGGCCAAAAAAAAAAAAAAATTCATGCATTCAACAGGTACCTATAAGCAGAATTTGCTCAGTGCCACTGTCAAAACCTTCCATTTCAATGAGGAACTGTGTTTTAAGTCTTCTACTTGATTCATGTTCACCGTCTGACTTGCGCTGTAATCACATAAAAAACATTTTAGCAGAAACGTTTATTTAGAGGCAAGTTCTATAACAAAACCTAATTGCATTCCTAATCTTGTATAATGTTTGGCAGGTGATTTGTGTCCATAATCCATACCAGGAGTAGAACTTCCAGAGGATTAAACAGAACTCATTGGAAAAGGCAAACAATACAATCATTTTCTGTATTCAATTGAAAATCAGATGCAGTCATTATCCAGCAATAATAAGTTTCTCATGGTCTTGACTTTGGAATATGCCCTGATTTATTGTTCATGCCTAAGGGAATGGAAATGGGAATGGGACTATCACATCTGGAGGTATATTGTTGGTTATCCACTCAAACTGCCTCTGAGGTAGAAGTTAAAGAGGGGGAAGAGCTATCCCACATCGTATGGTCCAGCCATTGAAAAAAAAAAGGAAAAAAAAAAAATCAGGACAGATCATGCTGCAATTTTTTTCAAAAGCCAGAATGTATCTTACCTGAGATAAAAGTGAATCTATCTCGTCAACAAAAATTACAGCAGGCTGACGACAACTGGCCACCCCAAAAAGAGCCCGCACTAGCTTTTCACCCTCACCAATCTATTGTCACCAATTGAAATGTTACATATTGAGATAAATCAACACAAGTAGGAGATGAAAAGGAGTAAGTGAATTACTTAAAAAGATATTTGTTTGAAGAAATTCAAGATTTCTTACTATAGTTGATGTTTAATTACAATTGATACAAATCTCAAAGTTACCATTCTAAAGGTGTCAAATATTTGACAGCTTTCTCACTACAAGAGAATCATGTTGTAAAAATTTATGCTTACAGCTTTAAATTAAAAAAGAAATAACACATACCCACTTGCTTGTCAATGAGCTAGCAGATATGTAGAAGAAAGTTGCTTTTGCTTCCCCAGCAATAGCTTTCCCAATCATTGTTTTGCCAGTTCCCTGAAACATTAGGAACTCAAATAACAAATACATGCCTGAAAATTTACCTCATATATAGAGAATAGAGTGCTTACTGGGGGACCAAAGAGAAGAAGTCCTCTTCCAGGAGATCGACAACCTCTAAATATGTCGGGACGTAATAAAGGCCATATCACCATCTCAGTTACACATTTTTTGGCATGCTCCAAACCAGCTATGCCAGGAAGTAAATGCAAATTACAGAAAACCTTATAGGTAAGCAAATAACAAAAAGAAACTAAAACCTAAAAGGTCAGTTTGGCATGTTATGATACCAATATCATCCCACCGAACATTTGGATCCCGATCCATGATCTCATTACTGACATGTTCAATAAGGCGAGGTTCCAAATTCCTCAATTTTTCAGGAAGTTCACCATCAGGACCGCACAGCATTTCCAAACTAGAATTAAAATCATCAAACACATGAGGATGTGAATAAAGATTTTACACGTCTCAGTAAAGCAATTTTAACTTCTTTAAAAAAGAAAAAGAAAGGCTTAACAAATGCCCGATTTCATGAGGAAAACCTAACTATTTAACCTTTTCAACCGATGGCCATAAAACATTTTTAACCATGCCACATGTTTCCCATCTGAGTAAAGAGTGGGATATAACCAAATTAACCAATTAATTACTTTCTAAAATCAAGGTAGGAAATGATTTCAAAATTGACAGAGTGCTCATTTCTGTACTGCTCTGCACTGAGAAAGGGGGGAAATAGAAGACAGCCATGTGTTTGTCATAACTTTTTTAGTGAATGGAAGACTTGCATGCTCCTTGTATAAACCAGTTATTGAAAACTCATTGTCAAGACAACAGTTGTGAAGATATTTAATTTGTGGTTCTTATATCATAGGCATTTGACTTTAAAAACTCACCACTTCCTTGTTGAGTCATCTAGTGCATCATCACCTGCCCCACCAATTCTTGAAGTCACATTTCCAGCATTTCCCCCATTGGATCTGCTAGGTGGGACAAAATTACCACGCACCCCACGGCGTGAAAAACCATAAGATTTTACACCATAACCTCTAGCTGAGGAATTGGTATCACTTTGCTGGGAGACAGAAGAACTTGGGGATCCTGCCAACCCCCGCCTTTGCTTTACTTCCATTTCCTATAGTAAAAAATAGGTGATAAACATGAAGAAGATATGAGAGAGGTGCAAGTAACGGAAAAAATGGTTCAACCTCTAGACAATTCAAATTAATTAATTCAAGTCTTGACTAGAAGTTACTATGGTTTATATCATAAACATGAACTAATATTTCTGTTATTTCTCCGTTACTTCTTTTTCCTTGAGAAAAGCATCCTTATGTGGATGGTAACATGCAGACGTTAATGGGAAAGTAGTATCAGCAGCTATGCATAACTCAAAATCATTCACAGCCTATGGGATACACCTATTTGGGTTATTTCTTAATCTGCATGCAAATTAAAAAAATAAAATAAAATAAAATAAAATAACTACGAGGATGAAGGAAGATAACAAGGGAGACTCCTAAAGAACTGGATATAGTTGCCACACATGTCAAAGAGAAGTGTTGTCACAGGAAAAAATTATACCAATTTAGCTTTGGCTGTTACAAATCCATTTCCAGAAACATCAGCATGAGCTTCTTCACTAATTGATGGTGACCTTGCCCTGTCTTGTCTGGGGCTTCTAATTTCATTGTGCGCACGTTTTGTCCCCAAAGTGTTTCCAAGTCCTCTTTCGTCTTCTTCAACTTTGCACAATGCAGAGACACCATGCCCCCTAGGAGGGTTGTGATAAGAATGAGCCTTTTCCACTATAACGCAGTCCTCAAAACTCTTAGCTTTCAAGTTCAAAGAAGTTTTGCATGAGCCATTATTTGCCATAGCAATTTTGTTTCCATACAAGGATGCCAACTTGTCCGGGGCTGTAACTTTTGATGCTTTGCTGATCAGCTTGCCTTGCCTCCCTGATTGGTCTCCCTGAGACAAAGTAAGAATTCAGCATGTTCAACCAAAAAAATGACCATAAATTGGAACGAGAGAAATTTTGCAGGATGAAAATAGTTTTACAACATTTATTAATCAGAAGAATGAGGCCCAAAATAAAATCAGAAGAATGCAGCATTTTAGGGAATAACAATATTAAAGCCCTTCAAGAAAACAAAAACTTATATTCAATGTTCCATACCAAATCACTTACAGCCCTTCCATTAAATTGCTGAAGCAGCACTTGGAAGTACTTTGATTGCTTAATCTTCTCAATGTCAATACCAACTTCCTTGTTGAAAACAGGACCAGGCGCTTTGCCTGCCTGTTCAAATGCTCGGCTAAAAGTACATAAAACAAATATTATCAAACAAAAAAAATATCAAAATTGACATCTGAATTCAGGAAGTCAGAATTTCAAATTGAGCAGAAAACTGAAATTATTTTATGTGCAGCATCTTAAATGAAACTGGCATTAATAGATTCAGTTCAACAAAATTTAGCTATTATTGCTATTCAAATCAGACAATAGAAGTACTCTTCACCTAAAACACACTCAGCACCCCATAGATTTATCCAGTTAGCTTCACATAAATCAACATTAGTAATATATTAAAAAATAGAAAAAAAAATGCAGAAAATCTCATTTTATTCCACAAAATGAAGAAGTGTTTTTTAAAAAAAAAAAAAAAATCAACCGTATCAAAGTAAAAGAAACTTTGTCAGAGTATAAAAAAACGATCATATCCTAATCTGAATATGGAATAGAAAAATATGATCCTAAAAATTGCTTAAATACATGCATACCGATCGGAATCTTCAACGAGGGCACGCCGAGCACCGTGAAGCTTGGAAACTGCGTCACGCCGGATGGGGCGAATGAAGGTCTCGTCCACCTCCGACTGTGTATGAGAATCGAGAAAGCCAAGAAGCCGGAGAGAAAGTAGCTGAGCGGCCGCGAAATCGCCCTTCTCGAGGCAGAGTTCGGCGCCGAAGAGGAGCGAGTGAAGCCGCTTCAGATTGTGATCCACTTCCTTTCTCCAACACAATTTCTCTTTAGATTTTGATTCTTCCATTTTTTTTTCCTTCCCCAATTTTGCAGAAGAACAAAGAATAATTGTAGGGATTTTGATTTTTGAGAACGAAATTTGGTGTAGGGCTTTATTTTCTTCCCGCCATTTTTTGGCTTGCTTATTTTTTTTTTTTGAACTCATTTTTGTGGAGGAAATGCAATGACCATAAAGACACCACCATTAACCCTAAATTACGAGCTGACCACTTTCCGGCTAGAAGATACTTGTAGGCTTTTCAACTATTTATCTTAATAAATTTATAGATATTAACCTCTTATTTTATACAATAACATTTTTAATTTTTTATTTTAATAAATTTGTAAGTTTTAACTCCTTACCTGTACGAATTAAAAAAAATAACTTGGTTAAAATCCTTTTTTGGTCCTTGAACTATTGTACGGACCCCCGATTTGGTCCCTGAATTAAAAAAATCCCTGATTTGGTCCTTACTGTTTACCATTTTTACCTCGATTTGGTCCTTCCGTTAAAAATTGTGTGACGTGGCTTGTTACTTAACGGTTACCAGATGACATGTCATATAGTAATATAAAAAGTGATGATGTGAAAAAAAAAATAATATAAAAAAATATTATGAAAAATAAAACTTACATTTTTTTTTCTTTTTTCTTTTTTTTTTTTCTCTTTCTCCTTCCCCTTTCTCTTCCTCCTTCCCCTCGGAACCCAGCAGGCCTGGGTTCCTTCGAACCCACCCAGGCGCTGGGTTCGATGAACCTGGTGCTGGGTTCAACGAACCCAGGCGATCTGGGTCCGTCGAACCCAGGCGATCTGGGTTCGGCCTGGGTTCAACGGACCCAGATCGCTTGGGTTTGACGAATGCTTGGGTTCGACAAACCCATGCGTTGGGTTCAACAAACCCAGCTAGGTTCGAAGGAACCCATCGCCTGGGTTCGATCACTGGGTTTCTTCTCGAACCCAGGTGCCTGGGTTTCGTTTGCACCCAGGTGCTGGGTCTCTTCTTGAATCCGGGCACTGAGTTCCTTCAAGAACCCAAGAGCTGGGTTCGTTCGAATCTAAGGGCAAAAAAATTTCTGTTTTTTTTTTTTTTGTGGGTTTGGTTGTTTGATTAAGATGAAGAATTGTTGGGTTCGATATTGAATTGATTGTTTGA